TTTTTTTTTTTTTTTTTTCATTTTAGGGTGTTGTCAAATGCAGATATAAAAATGGCCCTAAGAATAATATACTGGAGCCATGCTCCAAGAATCTCCCATATAAAGCTTTGTGCCTTCAGCACATGCATTTTTTTATTGAGTTCACTTTCATCTGTGCTTGTATAATACATTATCATCAGTGGTTTCTGGAAAACTGTACATTCCCTACTTGTCAGGTTGTTATGTTCATCAGAGCAACCAGAGAGAACCATTCAGGAGAACTAGAGTTGATAGTAAGACCTAATGGTGAGTTAGCTGGAAAAAAAAAGCATCTTTGTTTTAGTCAGTTCCCTACCTTGTTTTTCATATATAAAAGGCAGAACTTGTTCAACACTGTGATGTTTTATGCAGTCATATCCTTTATATTTGCTATAGATTTTTATTGAAGTGTTTTTATGCATTTCATGTCTATTTTATGTGATAATAATTTACATTTCTATTGTGATGTCTTTAACAAAGTGAAATATATTTCCATGGTAACTGTTTCCATGGTGATGTATGGGAGTAATGTATATTTCCTTGGCAACTGTTTCCATGCTGATGTATGCACTGAAGTGATGTATATTACTAGGACAAGTTTCTATGGTGATATTAACAGTGAACTTGTGTACATTTCCAGTGTATGTTGGAGATGACCCAGTGGAAGAGCCAGAGTTCCAGTACATCCCAGACACACACCATATATCTACCACAACCCACGGTGACGTGCTGGCAGAGTCCTTACTGCTCCTCCAGGAAGGCATAGAGAGTGGGGCAGCAGTGGCACAGTTTGAGGTAGGTCAGGTTGTTGTGATGTGTTGGCAGAGTCCTTACTGCTCTTCCAGGAAGGCATAGAGAGTGGGGCAGCAGTGGCACAGTTTGAGGTGCGTTGTGATGTGCATGCGTGTGTTTTATCTACTAGACATTCTGCTTGATAAGCACAAGGTATTAAGTATCAACAAAATGACTAAAATTTTAAATTGTTCTCAACATTTTTCTGAAGTAATATTTATGAACTATTTTCATTATTTATCCTTATGTATTTAAATTACCTATTTTGAACATTATATCTTTTAAATCTTGTAGAGTAAGCTGTTCACATTTCTTGCTGTTCATCAAGAGTGAGAAAAATGTGTTCTCTTATATTGGTGCAGTTGAGTGTGAAAATATTCTGTGTCTCGGGTACCATCCTGCTTCTCATGATTTCATTTTTTTTTCTTTTTTCAGCAATTGTACAGGAAGAAGCCTGGGATGACTATGAATGCTGCCAGGTTACCTGAAAATATTCCCAAAAATAGATACAGGGACATCTCTCCTTGTGAGTATGACAAGTATGAGTATGACCCTTATACCCAAACCCCCCACACCCTTCACCCCCAGGGGCATTTCTGCCTATGGTTAGAAGTACACAGTTACACCCGTCCTCTTCTTGCCAGGAAATTAAAAGAAAACCAGTTCTAGTTCTTCATGTTTTTATTGTCTGTTATAAATGATACAATAAATCATATTTTTGGCTGTTTGTTAATTTTATTGAGTGTCTGCAGGTTAAAGGTGCTATACTTTTTTTTTTCTTCAAAAAAATTGTTATCGTTCAAATTTCATAGGAAATTGGTAAAATGTGGCATACAAGTTGACATTTTTTTTTTAATATTTCAGATGACCAGACTCGGGTCGTAATCAAAAATGGTCCTGATTACATTAATGCAAATTTTGTAAATGTAAGTGCCATTTTTATTATTTAAATCTGAATACTGATAGGAGCAATATGTATCACTATCAAAAGCGATATATAATGACAAGTGTCAATATGTAACAACAAGTATCAATATGTAGCAGTATATAAGTATCAACATGTAACTAAGTATCAGTGTGTAACAACAAGTATGAACATGTAACAAAGTATCAGTACATAACAATAAGTATCAATATGTAACAACAAGTATCAATACATAGCAGTATATATCAACATGTTATAATAAGCATCACTATGTGTTCCTTTCAGATGGAAATTCCTGGCTCTGGTATTGTAAATAGGTACATAGCAGCCCAGGGTCCCCTGCCCAACACAGTGGTGGATTACTGGGAGATGATCTGGGAGCAGCAGTCCACTCTAGTTGTCATGCTGACCACTAAGATGGAGAGAGGAAGGGTCAGTTTTGGCCTTTGTGATCATGTTGTAATTTCCAGAAGACAATCATAAACTTGCTGCCAGTTATTATAAAGAAGCTCTGCTAAAATATACACAGTGGTTTAATTCTATCATTTATTCATTAATTAACCCATTAATTAAATCTGCCCTTACTTATTATTTATTTATGTATGTGTTTCACTTATTTATATATCTATTTTCTGTGTTCCAGGTGAAATGTCACCAGTATTGGCCAAATCTCTACGAAACCGAAGACCTTGGAGCACTTCAGCTTACCTGCCTCAAGGAGCAAGAAACCCCGTCCTTTGCCTTCAGAGAGTTTCTGTTAGTCAACATGGATGTAAGTCTACAGTGGTTTATAATAATGGCTCGCCAAGTGCAAGCATCCATTTTATTGATCCATTGATGCGTTCTATTTCTCAAAAATTTATTGTGTTTACTAAGTAGTTTATGAAACAAGCTCTAGGTTGGGACCTGATACAGTCTGGTGCAGAAATAGCCTCAATTTGCAAAATGTCAGAAGCATCAAGTTAAATTTACTTCAATCCTAACAAGAAAAACTGTACAGAAAAGTGTTTAATGATCTGATTTGTTATTTTTAGACCAATGAAGAGAGACACATAGTGCAAATGCAGTATATAGCCTGGCCTGACCATGGCGTGCCGGATGATTCCAGCGACTTCCTAGATTTTGTCATCCGTGTGCGACAGAACCGAGTGGGAATGGTTGAACCAACTGTCGTGCACTGCAGGTATGTGATATAAGTCATATAACAAACCAGTGTACATGTGCATGACATCATTAAGTTAAGATGCTTAGTTTGTTCTCTCATATAAGCATACTATGTTGGGTCTCTCATGTAAGCACACTATCATGATTAATGAAGTGGTTGTTACATTGAAAATGGGTGGTGTATTTTTGTGAAATGACATTTGCTGTTTGTCACCTTTGAAGTTTGAAAAAAAATGAGGAAAAATCATATTAAGGGGTAAACAGTAATCTGTATAATTTCCTTTGCAGAAATAAATAATAATCAAGAATACAAGGTATCCTGAGCAAATAACATGAACAATAACATTGACAAAGATAACATTTCTAGTTAGAAGAAAAGATTAAGAAGTGCATATATGTCATAAACAAAACAAAAACAATAATCTCTTTATTCATTCACTCTACCTATTTCAGTGCTGGTATTGGGCGCACAGGTGTCCTGATCACCATGGAAACCGCCATGTGTTTAATCGAGGCCAACCAACCAGTGTACCCTCTGGACATCGTACGCCAGATGAGAGACCAACGTGCCATGCTAATACAGACAGCTGTGAGTAGTGCCATCTTTGACTGGGTTCCCATACTTAGATCGATCCCTCTGGATCAACCTAACTCCCTGGGGGTACATGCTACATTGCCGTCAGCTCAAGAGGCTTAAATGTCTGTCACGCCTACCGAATCAGCTAGGGTAAAGATATTTTCCCCCTAACAGTTTAACTAGTCGTGACAGGCATTTAAGCCGGTTAAGTTGATCACAGTTTAGTGAGACTCCCCAGGGAGATAGATCGATCAAAAAATCTGTGGGAATGGTCTCTTTATCTTCATAGCCTGGCCAGGGACGGGGAGGGGAGGGGGATTCCCCATGGGTTTTCACTGATATAATTTTCAAGCGACCTAACTCTGTGAAGATTCTAAAGGGCAGGAGTTGCAATGGTCTTAACGTGTTAATTAAAAAATATATATATGGATGTTATTTTACACAGAATAAATAAGTTGTAATTCACTTTGATGAGGATATTTTACTTGTTTCATAAAAAGCAAGCAATGGCTTTTGTTTTGTGACACTTGATTAGACTGGGTTGTTTAATGTCAGATTAGACTAATGTAAATACCGTTCTGTGTGCAGTCCATGATAAGTTACTTATTTTATTGATAATTTTAGAGATATATTTTATCCATGTTTACCTGAATTTATAAATATGTACACTGTACTCAAATACAAGCTTAACATTTTATTGCCACTGCTTTTCAATCTTAATTTTTTTTATTTTATTTATTTATTTATTATTATTATAAATAATATTATTTTTCACAAAATTTCAGAGTCAGTACAGGTTTGTGTGTGAAGCCATTCTGCGAGTCTACAGTGGTAAGTTTGACAGTTTTAGAAACAGCAGATACAACAGTCTTTATTCTTTCAAACAGTAGTCACTAAAGCACTTTTTTTTGCTAAAAAAAAAAAAAAAAAAAAAAACATGGTTGATTTTTATCTTGTATCCTATGTTTATTGATTATAGTTTTTTTTTTCCAAATTTTTGAAATGTAGGGTCAGGGTTATTTTTAACTTATAATTCATTTATTGTGTTGGTCAAAGAAATGGTAATTTCCCATTATTTGCCTATCTGCCTGATAATTTAATGTAGGTCTCCTCACTGTTTCAAATATATACATACCCTAAAATGATCATGTATAGACTACATAACACCCTATAAGTTTCCTCACTAGTGAATGTCGGTGCATCAGTGTTGACCATGTGTTCCTACATTTCAGAGGGTATTGTAAAGCCACTGGATGATTATCAAAGATGACACCCTGCAAGAAGGTGAACTAAACGTTGAACTAAAGGTCACAAAGCCATCTTCATCTCTTACATGTGCATGCATGGACATAACGCCCGCACGTGCTGGTGTAATGGAAATGGACACACCTTAAGGTTCAGAGGTCACATCTCTCTCTTTCTCCATCTCCATGGTGACACTATTTCCATGGTGACGTCGCAAGGCAGCTAGGACAGCTCTGTGACTGAGCAGGAAAAAAAATGGCAAAAGTGCACAGCATTCAAGTAACACAGTCTGAGTGGGTCAGTTACTAAGAAGCAGACAGTGATATGATCTTCCATAAAGCTCACATATGATCCCAAAACTGACAAGTTTTGCCATCTGAGTCCTATTATAATGTATTGTGCTGCTAGGTGGAACAAGTTTTTAAGGGATGGTCAAGGAGGGTTCTCTAAAGTGTTACTCCGCGACACTATTGCTCAGCCCTAAGAGGTGCCCTGCTTGCTTACTTATCAATAAGATGGCTTGTGAAACAATTAAACAAAAGCCTCACGGGGAAATATATGACATGGATATGTGAATGAACAAGACAAGAACATGTAGACATACGAGGATGTACATTTTACAGGAATACTGCATAATTTATTACCAATACAATATATGACAAACTGGCGATGCTACGTGGTGAATAAGCAGTTGTCATAAGACTATTTTAGAGTAATTAAAACATGTATGAGATATTGACAAATGCGAGAGAGAGTTTGTGGCAGTTTAAATGAAAACCCACCATTGAATTCTGGATCTGCCGTTGAATGGGAAAGTACACCAGGGTTTAATGGTGATCAGTAGGGAGGAAGAAAAGCTGCTCCTCCTTTGTACAACCACCATCTTAAATGCTCACTTGTGACTTGATTGTCATCTCATTCATTTCTAAGATATCTGGTCATACTGATGGCTCCCAGGGTGCAGGCTGAGTGCAACTTCTCACATTGCATTTGTGGGTGTAATATCTACAGGTTTTGTGACCATGAGGACAAGACTGAAGATAAACTGGACAATAAATAAGTGTGTATTTTATTTCATATCTTCAGCACAAGGTCGATTGTAAAGGTTGCTTGGATGTGGCTATTACAGCTAAAAAGAGTCATGGGTGTGGCTTTTCCTGTACACTAGCACCACCATGAGGTGTCATTGAACAAGCCTGGTTCTCCTTAAATGCAACGCTTTCTGTTAGATCTGTATGCGTTGCGCTATGTTGCTATAATCGTGCAATTTTAAGCGTAAATTGTGAATCATGGAAACAATTTTAAATGGATTTTTCACTCTAAATCAAGTTTGGCAATTTTCTGTTTTTGTCGATTGTCAGCTGTCTTGCCCTAAAAGGAGTATTCCTGTGTAACAAATTGGATATTGTGTGTACTGCACAAGAGCCTTAATTTTACTAAATGGTGTATTAAATATTCATGACCAGTGGAATAAAAAGGAAAGGCAGCCTTCCATTTTCTGCCTCATTTCTTTTAAAAAATGTCAAGTCGAGCAAGTGTACATATTTTAGACTGCAAAGATTTACAAAACTGAAAGGGTTTGATGAATGGTAGGGGCAAGGCAAAAGTGGTGTAGCTTTTTCTGCTGTCAAAATTATTTACATTATAATCAATTTTATGATCAGGTACACCCTTGACATCAATTGTTACTCCTGTCCTGTCCTTTCCTGTGCATATGTGCACTTAAGCAAAATATGCAAATGGTTTGATGCTCTTTTGCTGGAAAAAGATTGTGAAACCACTTTTTTTCCCCCTGAAAGTAACCGTATAAATAAGAAAGCAGCTCTGTTATTTTAAGTATCAATACTTATGGTGCAAGAAACATGACAAATAGTTTTGAAAGCAGAAGAAGCTCAGTACTATTTCTATGCTGAAAGGGGTTCAGACTGGGTGGGTTTGGGGAAGCGTTTGCTGATTTTTTAGACAGCATTTTTTACCATGAAGGCGTCTGTTTACAAAGCATTATTTTTATTTGTTTGCTTTTATTTTAAAGTGTAATTATTAATGATATGTTATTAAGTAGGGAGCATTTGAGCTTAGAAAATGTACACATCGATAACACTGAATCATATTCGGTGAAATTTTTCATGTGTATTTAAATTATTCATGCTTTCCCCCGCCTTTAAATTGAATTTGATGATCTCAATAATGATTTTAATTGTTAATATTAATAAAAGTTCTCATCCAGGTAATGCATACTGGATGATTTTATAAAGAGTGAATATAATAGGCATTTACACCAACTTAGATTGGACTATTTATAGCTACAGACTTCAGTCGCAATTCTATTTAATATATGTATGTCAACTTATACACAGGTACTGGATAATAGCAGAGAATAAATGGTTTTCAGTTAAGATTGGTTGAAAAAAACTAAGTATTTAGTAAAAGTGTAGCTGTTTCATTGACCGCAAATTCTCTTCTTGTAGGAGTATAGTGAACTGACACAGAAAGGGAAAAGTTTGATTGACAGGTCAGTGTAAACAGGTCTTTTTGATTAATGATTTATATCCATCAGTTGACGTACCATGTCTGTGGCTTTGACAGGTTTTAATGAGAACAGTGCTTGTTTTATTATAATTCCAGATTTCTCTAGTAAAAGCATACATTCTGGTGAAGATATTGTGAAATGTTTTCTTATTCTATACATATTGAAGCTTCATTAAATATTGTTTGCCCAAATAATTTGACAAATTTGCAATAGGTAAACAAGAACTATTTTTCTCCATTTAATTATGTGTAGGTTTATTCTGATCAATACGTATTTCATACTGTGAAATATATGTCCAAAGTTCTTTCTCAATCGTGGTATGTCACATATGTAGATTCATATTTTTGTCTTTGCTGCATTTTTAAATTGTACATTGTTGCATGTTTGCTGCAGTCAGTATATATAGATATACATTGTAGCATTGTTGCTACCATATTGATACAGTGTAGCAAAGTGTGGCAATAGTTAGCCATGCCCATGGTGTATATCGTTCAGAAATACAATCTACATTTTGGTACATAAAAAAAAACATTGTGTTGTTTTTTTGTATCTTTGTATTTTATCTTTTGTAGGGCTCACGCTCTCAATATAAATATATATAACTAACACATTATGTTTACGATATGCAAAATATAGTGGTTTTGGTCTGTTTTCTGTGAAACCTTATCTCTTAGTACGTCAACCAATTGTCATTTCACACGGCATTTAAAGTTAACAGCAGCAAGTAACTAATTATATTGCCGTAAACGTATGTAGGGCTATACCCTGCATGACCCGGTACATGAACATCATGCCCCCGCGAACATCGGCGATCCAATTTTCGACATTTTTAATCTCTACTGGAATGATTCGAGCACATTTCGGCTGTATTAGCTCTCAAATGCAGCACAAATGTAGTTGGAAAAACTAAGAATATCAATTCAATTCAATTTATTTCTGTACTGGTACATAGATTGTCATGGCCTTGTACAATATGAGTGTAGATATGATGTCAAAAGCTGGGACGACTGGCTGAGGTAAACCACTTCGAATGTAATATTTTGTCTGGTTGCAAGTCAGCTACATATATGGGACTAAACAATTAATATTATTGCATTTGCCCTCATTCCTCTTCAATGAATGTTTGGTATTTCAGCAGTTTCACTAAACTGTAAGGATAAATTGGGGATATTGGTAAACGTTTTATCAAAATGTGTGCGTTTGTGTGTGAGAGAGAGAGAAGAGAAGAGAGAGATAAATGGGTGGTGGAGGGTGGTGGTGATTGTCCATTCAACCAAGCCAAGACCCGACAAACCGTTCCATGACCAAATGATAAGAGAGAGAGACAGAAAGGTAAAAAGAATGCTTCGCCAGACAAGCAGCCAAGAGATGAACCATACTAGCATAACGCCTCAATAATAATAATAATAATAATAATAATAATAATAATAATAATAAACATCTCTGTCAATGATGGTGGTTTAGTTGACCTGAGCAGAATGCTTTTCACTGTTTGAAATCTACCACTTTGTCTGACCAGTGGGACATGCCTTCAAACAATGGTTGAAAACAACCCCCTCCACTTATGAACCCTATACCAAGTCGCATGTACATGAATTATCTGTACATCAGGAAAGAGAATAATTTTAGGAATTATACATTGACATATATATTGAAAAACCAATCTGTGAACATGCATCCTCCCAGCAGATGGATTCGTCCCACCCCTTTGGGGCTCGGGATTGTTTTGAAGCTTCTGAAACTAGGGTCCACCTATTTTTCTACCAGAGACCAGATGGATGATGTCGCCAAGGTGCGCTAACAGTCACAAAATCTGTCCAAGGGCCTTCAACCGGTTCTGCAACAGCAGTAGGTGGAGCTCTGGTAGGGGGTCCCAGGGTCCAAATCGAAAGTGAAGAAAGTATATAGGACTATAATACGACTTCGAAATTATTCGAAAGGTGCGATGTGCGCATGACCGGAATTGTGCACTGCAGGGGTCAAAATAGTACCGGAAGTGTTGTTCACTGCGATAGGAACACATGATGGAAGCATAAGACGTGCCGTGGGCGATATTAAACAAGCCGAAGTTGAAACCTTGGTTAAAATGTAGGATGCCCACACATCAGGCAAAAAAGAAGAGCTGATAAAAAGGTATGTTACACGATATTTTCTTAAATACAAGACCAAATACAAAACCCTAATGTGGTCATTATGTAATTATGTTCACCTGAGTCATTTATTGGGGAGATAAATTTGTCACCTGGTTCAGGCAATTATCTGATACAATCTCCGAGGTGGGCTAGTGCACTGTACAGGTAATTAGTACAAGCTCAACGTCAATATCAGTGCATTTATCTTTGTTTTCACTTCATTATCTTTCTGTTGTGTATCCAGGTAGATTTCGTTTAAAAAAATATGACTAGTCAATTTTCTGTTTTGTCATCAGTCTAATATGTAGGCCTATGTATGTAAATAAATCACTGTTATAGATGTGTTGATGATGACTTTAATAATTATTTTCATGACTATTTTTTACTTGTTTTATAGGTGTAAACTGTACAGTGAGGACAGAGAGAGAGAAACAAAATACTGGATCCAGACGGCAGAGAAAATTAGAAGTAGGCCTACCAGATTGAAGTTTGAATCAAGACAGTGGAGAATGGACCAAGTCCTTGAAGGGAATGCCCAACCCTTTTTTTTTTTTTTTTTTTTGTATTATTTACCTATTAATAAATACAATTCATTATTTCGTTTCACAATTTTATTTTGCATAATAAAACCAATGATGGAAATATCTTTCCAAGGTACCTTACGATATTTCACAGTACCGTAGCCAGGGGGGTTCGGGGGTTCGAAAGTACCGCCCCATTTGCAGGGAAAAGGTCCACTCTGGGTAAAATTTGATCTAGATACATGAAGTTTTTATGAGAAAAGTTCCACTTTTTCAGAACAAGAACCCCCCTTTTGAAATTGTTGCCTACGAGTCTGTTTTAAAATGCAATGTTTTAAACATTTTCTAGATATGTTCAAGTGCATTGTGATAATAAAAATGAGATATTTGGTAAAATTGTTCTCTTTTTTGTTATTTGCATAAGTAATATACGATTCAATACTCCTTCACAGTCAGGTTTATACCTGGTTTTAGTTTTACTAAGGTCTAAGCGATGGCGATAACAATACTCTAAAACCAAAGTAAAACTAAAACCAGCTTTAACCTTGCTGTTAAATCAAACCAAAGTTTCACATGACAGTTTTCATGCCATTTTTTTATACTTAGGTAATGTCAGGGTATAAAAAGTCATGAAAATTTTAAATTCCTCGTAGGTTTCAAGACCGATGTAAAATTTAACCATTTCAGGTTTGTTGTGCATAGACTTTATGCTGAAAGTGTGTTTGTCAACTTCCTCATGTTCTTTGAACAGTTGTTCCAGCATTTTATGTACGTTTTCTCTATCACACTATTTCTTTATGCATCTTTTTTTTTTTTTTTTTNCGCCCCCGCATGACCCGGTACATGAACATCATGCCCCCGCGAACATCGGCGATCCAATTTTCGACATTTTTAATCTCTACTGGAATGATTCGTGCACATTTCGGCTGTATTAGCTCTCAAATGCAGCACAAATGTAGTTGGAAAAACTAAGAATATCAATTCAATTCAATTTATTTCTGTACTGGTACATAGATTGTCATGGCCTTGTACAATATGAGTGTAGATATGATGTCAAAAGCTGGGACGACTGGCTGAGGTAAACCACTTCGAATGTAATATTTTGTCTGGTTGCAAGTCAGCTACATATATATGGGACTAAACAATTAATATTATTGCATTTGCCCTCATTCCTCTTCAATGAATATTTGGTATTTCAGCAGTTTGACTTAACTGTAAGGATAAATTGGGGATATTGGTAAACGTTTTATCAAAATGTGTGCGTTTGTGTGTGAGAGAGAGAAGAGGAGAGAGAGATAAATGGGTGGTGGAGGGTGGTGGTGATTGTCCATTCAACCAAGCCAAGACCCGACAAACCGTTCCATGACCAAATGATAAGAGAGAGAGAGAGAGAAAGGTATAAAGAATGCTTCGCCAGACAAGCAGCCAAGAGATGAACCATACTAGCATAACGCCTCAATAATAATAATAATAATAATAATAATAATAATAATAATAATAATAAACATCTCTGTCAATGATGGTGGTTTAGTTGACCTGAGCAGAATGCTTTTCACTGTTTGAAATCTACCACTTTGTCTGACCAGTGGGACATGCCTTCAAACACTGGTTGAAAACAACCCCCTCCACTTATGAACCCTATACCAAGTCGCATGTAGGCCTACATGAATTGTCTGTACATCAGGAAAGAGAATAATTTTAGGAATTATACATTGACATATATATTGAAAAACCAATCTGTGAACATGCATCCTCCCAGCAGATGGATTCGTCCCACCCCTTTGGGGCTCGGGATTGTTTTGAAGCTTCTGAAACTAGGGTCCACCTATTTTTCTACCAGAGACCAGATGGATGATGTCGCTAAGGTGTGCTAACAGTCACAAAATCTGTCCAAGGGCCTTCAACCGGTTCTGCAACAGCAGTAGGTGGAGCTCTGGTAGGGGGTTCCAGGGTCCAAATCGAAAGTGAAGAAAGTATATAGGACTCTATAGGAATTTCATTGGACGGCCTTCACATCCAGAATATGTGTCTCATTTGACCCAATGGGATTTTGGCCAATATCCTATAGTGGGGAAAGGCACATGTTCGCCTAATTGAGTTACCGCATAATCTCAATTAGATTTGTGTTGGGATTTTGTATTCATGTATTCATAATGGCCAATTAAAATAATGTTGAATATATTGTGTCAGATCACAAGTCAGCTGTGTTGAGAATTATAAAATGGGACTAATCAATTAAGGGCATTTGCTCACATCCCTGTTCAATTAATATTTTATTTTTAGCATTTTCATTCATCTATAGGGGTAAACTGCGAATATTGGTAAATGTTTTATGTCAAGATATAAGCCAATGTGTGTGTGTGTGTGTGTTTGAGAGAGAGAGAGAGAGAGAGAGAGAGAGAGAGAGAGAGAGGGGTAAAAGATTGTGACTATAATCAGACTAGTGTAACGCCTCAATAATGATTATTAATGTTAACAGCAATGCTGGTAGTTTAGTCCAAGTGCGCTTTCTTCCAGTTTTTTCTCGATTATCTGATCAGTGACACCGACCTTGACACAATGACTGAGAACACCCGTCCCCTCACCCAAGACAGCTGTGTAGACAGGTGTGAAAATTGACTAAACAGTTAATTGCATTTGTCGTCCCTCCCGTTCAGTTAATGTTTTGTTTTTTAGCAGTTATAAGGGTAAACTGCGACAGTGCCAGGATATGTGCCACTATATATATGTGTGTGTGTGTGAGAGAGAGAGAGAGAGAGAGAGAGAGAGAGAGAGAGAGAGATATGGGTGGTGGGATATGGCGATAAGTGCCAGTTAACCGCTCCATAACAAAGTGATGAGAGCCAAAGAGAGGGAGAGAAAGAGAAGCAAGGAAA